CTAATCTCTTTTCCAGTTGTCTAGGATGGTGTTCAGCTGGAAATCCAATCAAAACTTGAAGTTTTTCCTCGGCATGTTYACAAACATTGGTCAGTAGCGGTTCACCGTCAAATGTAACCCAGTTYCTGCAAAAATAAAAACAAAATACCTTCAGAACAGTGCCTAAAAGCTATGTAAGTCATATACCATACTTTGCAAGGTTACTCAAAATAATAATTATTATTTTATTTGCATGAACAATGAAAGAAAAGTTGTTTTTTCCCAAGGTGTTAAGTCAGCACGTGGAAAGTGAAATTGACACGCAACCGTAGARTTTAAAATGCTCTAAAATTAAACTTTCCTTGAAAAAGATTATAGKAAACAGTACCAAAATAATAGAAAATAGTCTTAAACATATTCTTATCAACTGTGGAATAATATGAAGTTGTACTCACCATGCACAAAGCCATATTGTGCGAGAAGTCCCATCCTCTCGGCAACACCCGCCATTTTGATTTTGAGCCGCGTGTAACCGCAAGGTATCATGGGGTCACGTGAAAAAAGAATTGAACCGGGAGGGACTAGATACCAATTACCGCTTGCTTGGCCCCGCCCTTGTCCCATTTTTATTCATTTATCGATATTTCCTGTTTAACAAGTTAAAATTATGTTTCTCAGAACAAAAGCATTTAAAAACATTTCCTGAGCAAATTCGCTAGAGAGCTTCTCTCATCTCATTGCCGTTTTTTGGAGACATGGTGAAAAGATGAGTCTGCAAGAGTACATGCACCAGTATTTTTTAAACGGGAAAGCATCCCGAGCAGTTTTTAGTTTTAGCAATTGGCATCGTGGCATCATTGTTACATACAAAGAATGGATAGTCCTACAATGGAGCATCTTCAATCGCGATTCAGGGCATAATCGCGACTCAGAGCRAAATCATACAGGTGTTTATTCAAAGGAAATAAGTTGTAATAGCTGGAGGATCATTCCGTAATCTAAAAGGACATTRACGAGTAGAATTTCCGACAAACTAAGCTATTTAACTATGTATTACAGTAAGAAGAAGGTTACAACTGGCTCAAGATATTCCTATGTTGACTCGGAGCTTGATAATGAACTGTCACGATTCAATGTATTTCACAACASTGAACATAGTACTCTACAGAAATCGAAACAGCATGATCCAATATGGCGTCCTCTTGCACTAGTACGTGGTCATAAGTAATATCCGATCCTTGTAAAATTTTAGAGGTGGAAATGATAAATAATGACACAGCCATCATGTAAAAGACACAAGTACAAGTTAATCTGTACGTTTTTACAGATTTTTTTATGTATATTTTTACTTATGTAGACTGACGATTAATTGTTGCCGTGTATAAAAATAAACCAATGAATGTAGTAGGTATAATATGGACGCTGACATGGACGCCCTAAAAAGGGGCGAATAATTTCGTGTTCTCTTTTCGATGATATTGCAGTAAATCCAATTAACGTTGATCAGTTATAAAGACGTAAAGATATATTTGCAAACATATAAATCATAATTTAAGTAGAATGAAATTAAGCAAAACACCAACTTGGCGCTGATTTAATAACTCTGTTTTATTATGGACGTTTCGGCACTTTGGCATAATAAACGCCAGTGTTAATAAAAAGCAGAAGACTTCATACACAGKTTATGCCGGAAACTGATTTGCAATCATCGCATTATCGTCTAAWATTACAACCTACCAGAAATCTTGTCCATTTCGTTCTCGCGCATAGCTGATTCTGGTCCACCTAGTAGTTACCCAACATATGTTTCTGGCTCACCAACAGTTTCTTSTCTTCACTGCCAAGTGACTTATTTTTTGTCTTCCTGCCCATAATCCTTCACGATTTGGGGCACCAAAGCGGTTTAAGATTAACGGTTCAAGCAAGTGATAAATCGAAACATCGGAAGTGCTGATGTTTAGTTTTCGAAAAAGCTCATGTTTAGAATATATTTCAAACGCTTTGAAAGATTCGATTGACTATACAACTTTTAATCAACATATATATTTAAATAATGTTTGTGTGGGATATTTTTTGTGCATATGGAACTTATGGGGGACAAATAGTCCGTGATCACTCAAGCTTGACATGACAGTCCGTATGAAGTGCCAAATTTGAAGAAAAAAGGCCAGATTTCAAGGCTTTTTGAAGAAATGCGGCGACATTAAAAACAATCCTAAAAACCTAGCACCGGATTTAAGAAATAAAATCCATATGCGACCTTTCTGGGTATTTTTCATGAGAAAATTCGAAAATCCAATCACGTATTTTTGCCCTTGAAGAGTTGAAGTTGAGCATTAAAATAGTATGGTGATCCATGTTTTCACCACAGTTCGCTCCAAAAAACTGGGCCTCGCGCATAACTTATTTTGTTAATAAAAAACCTAGCACCGGATTTAAGAAATAAAATGTATGTGTGACATTGCTGTGTATTTTTCGTGAGAAAATTTAAAAATCAAATTACGTATTTTCGCCTTTGAAGAGTTGGCGTTGCTTCGCATCCGTTTGCGTTTCGGGATTCCTGTCCCRACGATGAACGGATGCAAAGGAGACTACTTCTGTAGGCACAAGCAACAAAAATCAAACTTGAATTTTTCAAATTATTGCTTTCTTATTATAGGTTGAAAATGTACTCAAAACTATGCAGTTTTGTGGTAATTCAATATTTGAAAAATTTATATCAGTCAGTGAACGTAACTGTGATATTATATGTACATGCACTTTCCTTTCTAGAGGTGACTTTGCTATTAATAGTATTTAATGGTCAGATGATGATATTAATGAGGTCGATCGACGACAAAATATTAATTAACTCCATTGTATTATATTTCATGAAGTAAATAAATAAATKACATGCATATATACATGCATGCATGGATGCATGAGTGAGCCTGGACAATAATCCAAGCAAATGTCACCCGATGTACGGCAATAAGTTCCATATGAGCCAAGATCATTCTTAAAACGACAATGCAAGAAAACTGCCCAAAATTATGCGAAGACAACGACACAACAAAGGGTGCTTGGTTTTAGCAAATAAATCTGTAGATTACGAATTGTTTGACTAATAAGGGATGGTGAAATAGCGAGTTCAAGACACTGATCTCTTTCGGTAGTTTTTGTGACGAAAGGCCTTATGGGGTCTCTCGTCACAATGTCATCGTGTTGAGTGACCGAACCGTAACCATCCACTTGTAGCAGGCGTTCCTTGCGAGTCCTTGGTATGTTTCAATTAAAGTTGAAAAGAGAAAATCTCTAGAGAAAAACAAACGAAGTAACAACAGCAAAGAAAAAGAAGAAAAGAAAAAGAAAAAAAGAAAGAAGAAAAGAAAACAAACAAAAACAAACAAAAAAGAAACAAGCAAAAAAAGAGAAATTCCAGAAGCAGGGCTCGAACTCAGAACTTTCATTTCAGGAGAAGATGTACCCCCCCGGAATAAATAAAAAATAAGTGAAATAAAAAACTAAAAAGATGGGACGATTCCCCCGAGACATTCTATGAAGCTGAGGCGGCGAATCGGCTTACGTTACGGTTAGAGATTTCGGCTCTTCCACGCTATCCCGAGTGAACATAAAACTTAGTCTTAACCAAAAGGCCAGGGAGTGAGGGGGTAGCCGCCCACTAGAGCATACCTTTAGCTACCCTCTTAGACCATCGTACTATGAAGACACTTATAGATATCTAATATCTAATTGGGGTAGTCTATTCGGTGAAGTTCTATGCTAATATATGACGTCACCAAAATCCTTAGGGAGCAGCGAGCCAATCAGAGCTCAGCACTGGAATTAGCAAACGATACAGTCTTTGCATAATCATTCTTCAGTAGATTTATTATTTGACAGGGGTGGGATGGGTGCTGAGTGCTGGTTTGCGGCCGAATACCGATGTACTCGATGTACTGTNGAGAATTTATCATGAGTTTATAAGTAAACAGATACAGAAAGATGTCTTTGATTACAGCTAAATTAAATCTCTAAGCAACCAATGTTGTGGATAAAAAATATGTTTACTTGAAGGCAGGGAAACAAGGCGCCCCCCGTCAGGCCCCCACGGGAGGAATGATCAACCACGGCATCACACTAAAGGTTCCTTGGACCCTGGGAATCGCCGTCTGGTGTGTATTCATAACGTAAAAGGCCCGTTTACATTTGCGATTTTTGCAGAGCGATTGTCGTGCGACAATCGCCTGAGTTTCGAACATGATTGAAATTTAACTGCAACTCGCGACGATTTTATTTATTTATTTATTTTTAAATTTCGACCGCCGCGGCATTCGCAGGGCTGTTTACACTTACGCAATTTGAGCTGCGCAAGAACAAAGTGCCGATTGTCGCGCGAAAATTGCAAGTGTAAACGGGCCTTAATAGTTGATCGCCACTTGGTTCTTCCAGTTCCTTTCAGCGTATACAACTAATTCAGAAAACGTTGAATACTAAAGATAGTGTATTCCAAGAGCAAAATGCATTGTCAGAGTTCATCACTGAAGGCTGATTTACACGGTACGATTTGTCGCGCACGACTTTTATAGTATACGATTTTCCTACTACAAGTCGTAGGATTTTAAGCAGTGGTTCAAAATCCTACTACAAGTCGTAGGAATTGCGTACGACTGTTGTAGACAAGTCGTAGGGGCATTTACACTGCGCGATTCAAGTCGTATACTACAAATCGCACGAGACAATCGTGCCGTGTAGGCAGTGTTGACTGTTGTAGTGAAAAACTTCCAAGGAAAGCAATTAATTGCCATTTTGTAACTCAACTAACTCTGGCCTGACTCACTTGCAGTCCTCGACTGCCTTTTTTTTAATGCACACCGTAGTCATTTATAAATTAGTGCCACTAACATCAAAGATGGGGTCTTTAAAACTCACATTCAATAATTACGTTGTTTCCAGTTTGTTCTCTTGTAAAATAGGAAGACACCAAGCGAGAGTGAAGTGTAACAGCTAAAGAAAGCAAAAATTAACGAAATTAAACACGTGATTTAAAGAAGCGTTTTTATTGGTCTATCTGTAGATACATTTTAATACTAACTCCACCCTGGTCACGGTTACCCTGTGGCAGAAAAGAACTCATCACAAGAAACRATGCTCAACTCAGTTACTATWGTGGTGACTCTGTTGTTATAATTTTTTTCGTTTTCAAAGCAAATCAGTATTTTGTTACATTTATAAATTTACAAGTGAAAATCGCTTTGTTTTTCGCTAAGCAGCATAAAAGTGGTGTTTTATATCTTGAAATTGTGGTGAAGTTCATGTGACGATGGCATACACCTATTCTTTGGAAACGTTGAATGTTTAATGCGAATATTACTTGCAMCAAAGCACTACGTGGCAGCCATCTTGAATGAGAAAAATACAAATTTTCAATAGTGACAACTGTCATAGTTACTTTTGACAACAATTGCACGCTCTAATATAATTGGGAATAGTATAAATATTATTTATACGATATTCTCAAAGGTGCAAACTTCATTGCTTTCCTTATAAATGGCTGTCACAGAAAACAATAGCATTCAAGATGGCGGTCGTATTAAGGGTAAAGTATCTACTCTTCCTGAAGGYTGAATATGASCTAATTTTGCATTCGGCCTCAAAAGAAGGCGCGTYCAGGTCCAGCTCGATCACATCTGCATATAAATTATACTTTTCGTACGTAGGAAGTGACGTCAAGAATTAACCGGAAGTGACGTCAGAGTCTCGGTAAGAACCAAGAGTGKTATCACAATCAATAGCATTGGTAMAAACAATTATTGCTTCCAACAATGCTGTATCATAAAGTATGTACAAAGAGCGAAATCATCAGCGACGTTTTTGTTTCTTTTTGCTAGAAGAGCTCTTATGCGGCGACGATGTCTTCTTTCTCTTCTTGGCCTTGGGAGGGGCGTCGTTGTAATCGATCTTTTCACGATCGGCTGAATGAAAAGGAAATGGGAAATTAAATGGAAGAATGGGAAAGGATTTAAAAGGAGATTTACGAACATTTGTGAATCAGCCCCAAATTTGAGAAATACACAATACGGGCTGGTTGTACGAATGGTAAAAAGCGCTATCCATCTAATAAATCCATATCAAGCGGTTAAAATCCATACATAATATACAGCTATTTCATAAAACGTTGTCGGGGAGAACGGCGAACGGCGATTGTCGAAGGGAGATTGCACGACTGAAAGGGACTATGGTTATACTGTTTTGATAAACAAAATTTCACTTATTGGAACTTTCGGTCGTGCAATCGCCGTCCGACAACTGACATTCGCCATTTTATCCGAAAACCCTTTTTTGACAGATAGTTTCACTTACCTTCAGCGGCCTCTGCCTCCAAATCTGACCAGTCCTTCCCACTCTCTTCTTCACTACCAAGTTCCTCCTCGAAGTCTAAATAAGTAAAAAGCACGAGGATTGAGTAACGCTACGTGCGTAACATTTTGTAACGCAAATCGGCACTTACCTGATCCATCCTCTGACGTTACAGTTTCGGAAGAGAAATCTTCTTCTTCGGAAACCTCGTCTTCTGACTCTGTAGGTGCGTATTCGCTCGCCGTTTCATCTTCACTGCTGCCAGCTTCGTTCTTTGGAAAGGAAACAAAAAACCGTTAATTTTTTAAATGCATAATGGGAAAGACGGGAAAGATGGGAAAGATGGGATAGATCATGATCTTACGTCGCTCTGTGGGTCCAGGAAGCTCCATCCACCGTTTTCCAGGAATTCTTCAGGGTTGTCGTTAATAGTTTTCATGATTTTAGACCAGTTTAAACTTTGAATGCCCTCAGTGTACTTGATATCACACGAGCTGGTAACGAAGAWAAAACGACCGTTATACGACATCTACGACTACTGTACGAAAGTTAGGCGAGGACCGCACGACAATAATGCGATRAAAACCACCATTTTTACGATCATTTTTACATTTACTGATCCACAAATCAAACAACATAGTTTATAACCTAGCATTAACCGACAATTACACAACTATAATCACGAACTGTCTATTATCCGACTACAGTACGAATGCAACCCGTACATCATACGACCTAATGACAAAACCACACGAACTAATCCGACGTTACCACGACTACAACTATCACGAACTACTATAAATCCGACTACAATACGAATGCAACCCGAACATCATGCGACGTAATGGTGTTTGTCACACATCAAAAGGCGTTCACCTAGCCGACGGAAACACGACTACAACTCGATCTTAAAACGACTACTACTCGAACATTCTCCGACATCAAGACGAACAGTACTTACTTTAACCATTCTTTGACGGAATCCAAAGACGTCATAGGTATAGCATTGATATGCTCCACCTTACGTTTGTAGTCTTTGAAAATGAATACCATGTCGAAGTTCTTTAAATGAAACTGTACGAAGAAAGAAACCACATTTTGAAATAATAAAACTTAAAAATTTCAATTTTGAATCTTGTTACGTTTTACAGGTTTTTAACAAAGATGTTTTTTGATATTGTTAATTGGTATTGACAGCTCTTTGAGCACCAGAAAAAGCGCTCTATGAATATTAAGTATTATCATTATCACTATCATTACTGGTCATTATCACTTATCACTATCATTACTTATTATTATCATTATCACTATCATTACTTATTATTATCATTATCACTATCATTACTGATCATTATCATTATCATTATTACTTTACGAAGACGATTCTAGCTGCAACGGAGGTTACTTTAGCCATGTAATCATCCATTTTGCGCTTACCTGAACACGTTCGAAGTGAACCAACTCAACTTCGTCCAGGGTAATTATAAATACGGGCTGAAATAAAAAGGAATGAAATTTGTTATCATAAGCTGTTAATGATTATTCATGCAACCCATCTATCAATTGATTAAACGATGTGCCAGTCAATCAGTCAGTCAATCAATCTATCAATCAATCAATCCACACGCTTTACTTATCTAAAACCTACCTGTTCTGTAAGATTGACTAAACAATGCGTAGTTGGTTGTAAAAGCACTGTACTTCGGAACGGTACCCCTGAGAACCTAGAAAATCAAGAATGGATTCTAGTCAAACCTAACTCAGTAATGTTACGCGTGCACACCTGTRCATTGYACTACACTAGTTGAAATAAAGAAGAGCGTCTGGAGCAGCAGTCCCGACCTAACGCTTTTGTACAGCACAAGGAAAGCTGGATCATTCATCAACAATCTCCAAACAAACTCTYGCTGTTTGCTTTCAATAATGCTTTGCGAGCTTTCTTTACGCGTTTTGTTATGTTGTTGCTGTTTTATTTCGATTGCTCAGTATGCTATTGTTTTGCTGTCTTCTGTATTGTTTTRCTTTCCTTTGGTTTTCTATTTTATCTTGTTTTAACTTAAATTACATATTTTACTTATTTTGGTTGTAGTCAGTGTTGTTGCTATCATTGTACCAGTAGTACTTTTTGCATACAATAGGCCGAGTTTATCAACCATGTCCTACATTACAACTTAAGGCCGTATTGTGTAAAGCAATTGTATTGAAAACTCTTATATTCTTCTCAGTAAATGAAGTTCTTATGTAAAGCTTACCCGAGTTCTCTGAATGGAACATCAAACTCGACCTGGCCGTGCGTAAGYCCCTCAACTTTGTCAATAAAATTTTTAAACACRGCTTTAAGACGCTGTCTCATTTCTCTCTCAGCCTGAAATTAGACAAAGAAATAGTGTAAGTAAAGTAACGTAAGTTCAAATGAATGAATATAGAAGAGTTGGTAAAACGAGAACGGCAAACGTGCTCCACAGCGCGCACGCGCCTCAAAGTTTTCGGATTTCCCGCCTTTTTTAGTTTGTCCTACAGCAGCGCGCGCGCAGTTCAAAGTATTTGAATTTCCCGCCTTTTTTGTCTTGCCTGTTAATGCTTAATTTTTTTTCACTTCTCTTAAAATAAGTTCCATTTTTTGATATAATTATTATCATTCATCAAAGTTTTTTAGTTAATTGTTTAAGGAACAAAGAACGCGCTAATAAAATCTCCATACTTCAACTTCGTACTGACCTGTTCCGCTTGTAAGTCATCTCTGTCATGCATATGTTGGTGTTTACCAAGATCTGTCGTTATCTCGCCGACCTGAAGAATAAATCAATAAATAAAACTCAAGAAGAGAAAGCTGGCATGGAACTAGCGTGRTTTGCTTTTAAGTGTATTTTTTAATGAATAAAAGAGTTATGATGACAAAACCAGTGCGAGAGTAGACGTTCAGTTTTACAAGATGAATTTAAAAGTTTTTGGTATGACAGAGCTACACCTTACCTCAGTATAGAACTGGATATCTCGGTATTTCTTTTTACCGATAATAATAGGATGCTAAAGGAAAATGACAACAACATTTTATAAGCATTATTTTAAATATTACACTTGGCCTGAATGCGCAAATTTGTGAAATCCTTTCCAATGTTTATGTCTACCGTTGACAATGACAGAAACCTTTTTTGAAGTTTACCCACCCAAATATCAAAAAATGCGAATCGATATTAATAAAAAGCCCAAGTATTTTCTCTATTGAGTTCTTACAGGTTTCAAATAAAAAGAGCAGAAATTAAAAAATCCTTCGTTTACCTTAAGATGAAAATGGATCAAGATTATCATTTCGCCATCACAGGGCTGCAAAATAAAAATAAATCTTTACAATWACATATTATGACTGATCATAATTTTCACACCACAATACTCAATTATTCTCGACAAACATGATCAAGTTGTCTTATTTTTTTTGCTTTTTTACCTGGAAATAAGAATGTTTCACATTGCCATACAAAATATCGACTCTCTCGCCACGGAAAGTTGAAAACCTGAATCCTGAAGAGAGAAATAAAACGAGAAATAATCAGTGAAAATTTGCGCAAAAGAGCAACATGAGTGTTGTTGGTAGCCTGTTATCAGCAAACACATTTTTTCCATGAAACTAAGTACACATTTTTCTCAATCTAAAAAAGCGAAAGAAAACGAAAGAACCTGACAATTCCAGAGTATGCCATGTTGATGTGGTTGCATTGCCTAATAGTTTGAAGCGTCTGCAATTTTGTTTCAAGCTCATTTTTGTTTCAGTTTTGCTTGTTTATTATTTTATTTTATTTTATTATTTTATTTTATTTTTTTCTTTGGAAATTGTGATAGCTGACGCACTACCCGCCCAATAGTCACTGGAAAATATCGCGCACTTTTAAGGTTGTAAATTTGATGTAAATATGATGTAAGTGTCAACAATGATGTAAATTTGATGTAAATGATTTGAGTAGCTCAAGTTGTAGTGGTTTTCGAAAATAGAAGTTGCGTTTGGAAGTAAGATGGAAGACTACAACGACGACAAAAGCAACAGAAGCGGCAACAACAACGGCAACAGCAACAACAGCAACAACAGCAACAACAGGAACAACAAGCAAACAAACAAAACTAACCGTTACTATGTGCTTCAAGCATTCCCTGAAAAAAAGAAATTTACTTCAATTTGATTTGAGTCGTTTATCAACTTATACAAACTAAAACATTATATTTCTTTTTTCGGTGACGAGAAAAAAACTAATAACATATTCTCTTACTGAATTTGAATATTAATCCTTTAGACAAAATCTTTAGACAAAACAATATCTAAACTAAGACTATGTAAATATAATTTCAGCAAGGTTCGAATGGCGGGCAAAATACTTACGGGAGACCTCCGGCTTGTTAAACTTGGTCTGATGTAAAGATCTTTTAGTTTTGGGTTGCCTTTAGTATGGTTTAGGATCAAGTCACCTTGTTGAACAACACCCTAAAAGAGACAAAAAACGATTTCTTGAAAGAACGATAACTTTACTGCAATGTTTACAATCAAGACTCTCTCTTATCCTCCAAAAACCGGGATAAAACTAGTGGTCATAAAGGTCTAGTGCATCCATAGACCTTTATGATTTTGACTAATATTTTCAGCTGACTTTAGCTGACACGATAAAATAAACTAAGGACTGGGAAAGACAATAGAAAAAGGAAAAAAAAGCAAGTGAAAAAAGCAAGAAACGACGTTTCATCTCACTAGCTCTCTTTTATTTAAGTTCCATTTTTTAAAAGTACTTCTATCAAGGAAACAACGATAAGGAAACATTAATTTGATTGAGATATTCTTCAACCGTTTAATACGAGTTCTTCGTTTCATTTGACGTAGTCACCAAACCCGTGAAATTCATAATGTMCAAATCGAAATTGCAATGTAAGCTATAGATATTTTATAACCAAAACGTTTATTGAAAACTTCAGAAAAAAAAACGCGTTATTAAAACTTGAATTATGTCACGCAACGCCGTCATGGTTCAGAAGATCTAACTGGTAAAGCGTTTTGGCTCATATAGGCTAATCTTGATTTTAAAATTTATTCCAAACAAAGCCAGAGTGATTAATGTTTGATCCCCATCTGCGTTGCTCCATACAATTCTACAGGACAAATATCACGTATATGCGTCTGTGAATATCAACCAAATGCTTTTCAATTAATTCTAGAATTCGACCAAATTATGTAGTTTTGGGTGCGCTAAAAGGAGGCTATAAATTATGTTTGATATAACTTAAAACTAGGAGATGACGTCAATAAAACCAAATGATAGTTTATAAACGGTGTTTTTATGTCTCCGCGTGGGCCTCACAATCTGACGTCATGSCTCATTTACCAGCAGTCCTGGGGGTCAAGATCTCCATATTGAAAGAGTCGAACAAAACAACTTCAAACCTCATGTATCATGGTTCATGTTTGTGCGATTTTCGGTTGTAAAAACCGTTCAAACAGAGAGAGAACCAGACGATATTTTCGATTGCCGGCCGTGAAGAGAAATGTCGGTGAGCAACTCAAAGTGCTACAGGAGCAGCGAAGAGATGAGTGGGTCAGACGCATCGCACGCAGCGATTTCTTCCCGAAGAAATATCAAAACGCTCGMGTTTGTAGTGACCACTTCGTTTCAGGTAAAAAACGAAAGGTTTTTAGAAGTTATACGTAATCCTTTCAGTAAAATTACCGGCGTTTTCTATGCTTTTAGATCCAATTTTTGCGTGTTTACTTTTGAAAATGATTCATCAACAAATCTGTCTTATTAGGGAGCCCTTCTTCACTTCACGAAAAAGAAAACATAGACTGGGCGCCGAGTAAAAACCTTGGACATTGTTTTGAGCATGTTAATCCAATTCAACATTTAGAAAGTAAGCAGTTTGAAGAAAAAAACASCACTGAAGATTCTAGATTTGCATCMTCGCGTGTTGAAGCACCTTGTGAAGAAATGACAACGGTTGAAATYTGTGGTAATATTCARACTATTCATATMAAAATGGAGCCTACAGATTGCATTGATAATAAAGCACCAGAAACTCAGACTACTGCAAACGAAAACAATGCTTTTCCATTCCACGAACGAGGAACTCAGACTGACATGGATTTGAGTTATGTAAAATTACTAGAAAGAGAGCTGGTTCTATTGAGAGACGAAAATTTTCAACTCAAGCGAAAACTTCAAGAATCAAGTGGGAGAAAAGACGAAATTATWCCCTACACTCAATGAAGTTAGAAATGACAAAAGAAACCTTTGGCTTTGTTAGATATTTTTTTCTGARTTAAAATAAGGAAATAAACAATGCAAGAATGCACCTACAGTTGTATTTTGTGCTGTTGTCTATGAAACTCATGGCATTAAGTTTCATCATCGTCATTTCCAAAATCTTCCGTGTATTAAAATATAAAATTCACATCATTTTAGAGCATCAAAAACTACGTACTTTTGCCGAATTATAGGATTTCAGAGCATTTGGTTRTTGATATATTKGTAAAAATAAATTAAGTAAAYCTGCTGGTGGTCATGYGGTGACCACCACCAACTTCAGAGCTWTATAACAAGAAAAAGATGGAGTTTTTATGAATTAACTTTGCTAGAATATACTCAAAATAGATAAAATTACTCTATGGAAGCCAAAATGTTTTATGGAGATTGAGTTATGACCGATAAAAATGATATATATTGTTAATTAACATTGCCAAGTTGTGCAGATATAAATACAACAAAGTCTCTTACATACATCATGGTTTTAATATTGACAATATGGTAAATATACTAGTTTCTCGGCAGTWAAAATGTTACCTGTTTCTCTCTTTCCTCAGCTTCTCTTGTCTTGAATTTCTTCTGTACTTCTTTGATAAGTCTGAAAGCAGTGTTGAGATTCTGYGCAGGAACCTGTGCTGAGCCTGGAGCCTTGGAGTTGGAGCTACGGAACGTTCTGTTTTGAAGAGAAAAAAGGAAAAAAATCTCAATCAATTCATTCATCCACTGACTCATCATCCCTCMTACCAAGTAATTTGTAAAAAAATCCCATCCTTGCRATTCCCACCCATTCATTCATTTTTCATCCATTTYTCATTCATTTTTTTCCATTTACTTACACTTCTTTTACAAAGGTAGCTTCAGGTTGTGGAAAGAGATTTCCTTCAGGTCTACCAACAGAGCTAGAAAAAAAAAWKTCACAGTTTTATTGTTTGTTTGGTTTAAAAACAACACCAATGGTTTTGATTTTCAGTAATCTAACAGTAAATRCACTTTTTAATTCGTCTGGTCTGGTTTGTGTAGCAAGTAAACTTAAATACCTAAAAAATAAAATAATCTTCAATAAAAATAAATAAATAAAATTATTGAATTACCTCCCAGGACAGTAGAGATTGATACGCAGATAAGTATATCCTCCCTCGTCACTTGAACTGATGTTCTATAAGGACAATAGACATAATACAATCAAGAAATATGTGYTTGAAAGCATAAAGAAAACACAAGTTGTATTTATTGCTATCAACTGCTCTAGTAAAGCCTTAGTGCTAGAACAGAAGCAACAAACATGTCTGGCCAAGTTGCAGGTCATGGAAAGGTCACAGGCCATAAGTGAGATGGATTTTTCAAAATCTCAAAATCTTGTTAATACACCTGTAGAGCAAATTTTCCTATCGCATAATAACATGTCAAACCAAACTTTCTATTGTTTTAACGCTAAGGATTATGGTCGCCAGAAGAGATCAGAGTGACTGCATTTCAAATAAAATGTAGATAAGCTATCATTGATATACAATGTACATCAAAACTATATACACTAAAGTTCTACTTTTGGAAAGAATATTAATAGGTCCAAATTTCAAGTCTTTCTGAGCATCTAGATCCACAATGTAAACATACTATGACATCATTGTGCCAAAGGGCAATTGAATAGTTACTTCAAGAGTTGTTTTGTTATACCTTTATGGTTGAGATGTGGAATGGTGTTGGAATACCAAACAGAGGAAGAATAATGGCCTCGCTTTTCTTGTCTACAAAAGAAATATCACCCACACTTAAAAGAAATCATCATGCATACCAAAGCAGGAAGCGGACATGTTTATCTTTTTTCCATGAAGAACAGCATGGAGTACATGAATGCTTTTGGTATTGCATATAATGTCCAAAGCAGGTGTCCTGCAACTTGTGACAACTTATAATCTATTAACGACYTTCAAAAATGGCATGATATGTCAAAGTCACCGAAATGAGGCCAGTCTCCRTATAGTAAACTTCGATGGTATCTTGCAAGAGTACTTTGTTATAAATAACATTCTTCTAATACATCTTTCAAACTTTTGAACACTAAATACATTGGATGTTTGTAGTGATTTCTAGATGAAAGGCCTTTGAGGTCTTAATTCTGTGATTCATCACTAGTCCCCTGATATTGGGGGTTGCTAACTTCTGCCATTTTGGAACATTATGAGTCATATATGCCATACTTTTATCCATCGTTTCTGTCATTAACATTTATCAATCCTACAATCTTCATCATCATCATTATCATCATCATCACAATTATCATCATCATCATCATCATCACCATCACCATCACCATCACCATCACCATCACCATCACCATCACCATCACCATCACCATTATCATCATCATCATCATCATCATCATCATCATCATCATCATCATCAATCTTGAGTTCTATCTAGTGAACATAAGGCGGTGCCAATACTACAAAAAACAATTCCTTACCAACAAACAGTTTCAGTTCCCTGACATCGTTTTCCTTTGGTATAGCTGCAGAGGTCTTGTATGCCACATTGGATGGTTTGACTCTGACAAATATYAKGGATTATATAAATAATTTGTCCMATGYAAGARAATCCAGARAACTAGAGGATTCCAGATTCCAGGCGTTGAATTCTGGATTCTGGATTCCAAGCCTGGAGATTCCAGAGTCCAAAGAATTTTTGTTTTTGGATAACAGATGTGTTTCTGGGATTTGTTGGATTCCAGATTCTGGGATACAGATTCTGGATTCCAAAGCCATTTTTACTGGATAACAGATTCCAGATTCTCTTACATGGAGCGAAATATTTGTTTTTGGATATTGATGGTAACTATAAAATGAAGTATTACAAAAATAATAATAGCAAGAACAACAAAAAAAGAGTTAAAAAGACAAATCATTGGCACATGACCACATGATGTTACATTCTAACTTGCTTACAACACGGTAACATAGTGATTACCCATCTTAAGACGTGAGTAACCACAAAAAACAAAGTCAAGTATTGATTTTAAAAAATATGTAAACTTACTTGGTGGGTTTGCTTATTTCTCCCTTAGCTTCAAGAAGACGCCGCTAAAGTAAAAGACAAGGTGAGCACACGTAGTAAACACACAAAATTAAACTCTGTTTAAATTGGCTTACTCTGGCTTCTTCATGGAGTTGTTCTGAAAGYTCTTGTTGATGKGCTCGTCTTTTGTCCTCTGCKGTCAGCTCAGTCTGTWTATATTTCACAAGAAAGAAAATWYYTAAATACTGATAACCTGTTTCTGAAAAACCRTCTTGTGTGCTTTATGAAGATGAGYGCAAACACAAAAACYATAWAGAAAATTTTGTGTGCTAAATTATGTGAATTCTTTTGTTATCTATTGTCTAATCTAAAGTATATTGTGCTATTTAGTACTATTTGGTTGGTATTTTTTCACTCTTTAGGTGTCTGCTCTTTAACATTCATTACAGCATAATATAATAAACTCTATCAAATTTATCTTACTCTTGTTCTACTTTCTAGTACGGTTCCTTTGCCTTCTCCTGCAATCAGTAATGTATCTTCACCCTATAACAAAAATAAAATACACACAACATTATGTACTATATTAATACAATACATCACGTTTATCATCGCTTCCTTCAGACTCAGGAAAAAAACACAGAACAGAATGGAAAAGAACAGAACAGAACACTGAACAGAACAGAACAACAAAAATTTATTGGACAAAATTTCTTCCGTTGTTTATCAAGTAATCTTTCAAAGTCTTTTTAAAAACTTTGTCCCTTATGTTTTGTTGCCCTTCAATGCCAAAATATTTTTTCAAAATATAAAAATTTAATTAAAATATTTGATATTAGAAATAGTATGTTACCTCTCCATTTTCTTGTTTATCATCGTCCTCGTCATCTTCATCCTTTAAAATCACACAAATTTGAAAAATTCATCATATGATACCACTATTTTTCAGGGCACTTTAAGGCACCGTAATACGAGCAACAAAAATGTCCAACTTGTCTCGCAACATTGATGCAAAATGAGAATTGGAAAGCGATGTTGCTCGTTTTTCTATGCGTGTACCAACTTGTCTCGCGTCAAAATGGCTTGTTGCAAGTTGGAAAAATTTGTTGCAGAAAGTAGAAGATCGTTCTACTTTTTGCAACAAAATCCGTCGATGTTGCTCGTATTACTACAGCAACCCAACTTGTCTCGCAGCAAAATGACGTTTAGCGCGCGCAAGCCAACATCAGGTGATGTTTTTAGCCAATAAGAAATCTAAACTAATTCAACTTGCAACAAATTGTTTTGCTGCGAGACAAGTTGGTTCGCTGGTAGTAAAACGCGCAGCATCGCTTTTAAACTTGTTTTTCAGCAATGTTGCGAGACAAGTTGGACGTTTTTGTTGCTCATATTACCGTGCCTTTAGATAACCTCACGTGAGGCAATACAGCTAAGCTTGAGTGGGCCACAAAAAGCTCTATTTGGCCTGATAATATCCTTACCTTAAGAAATATTCCAATGCTGCTGATTTTTTTCTTGGCAGGTGTGAGAATAGTTGCTGCAGAGTCCTAAACACAACCATATATAACATAAATGCCATAAGCCTACTCCACAGGGAACCCATCAAAGACATTTTTTTGCCACAGGCAACCCACCATACAAAAATATTTTTCTCTGCACTCAGACCATCATATTACCTCATTTATGAGCACTGTGTCGCCAACAAAGAGAGCATAACTCTTGTTTTGTTCATCTTTTGCTTTATCGTTGACCAAACCAGAGAATCCAGCACTGATGTTGAATACCATGCCTATTTAAAACCAAATTAAAATTTACAAAAAACATTTAAAAGAGCAGCCAACTCCCACATTGAAAAGCAAGTCATCTATATTGTAGCTCAAGCTTTCTTTCAATACAAGTTGGCTTAAAAAGACTGAAGGTCTATTTATCAATGTTGGGTTAAAAAACTGTGAACATAGCTAAGTATGTGTCTGTTCTGGATTTACGACATGATTTTGAAAATAGACATTCCAATAAACA